CGCCATAGGGAATGGAGCCCAGAGCTGGGCACTGAACACTCAACCATTGTCAGCTACTGCTGCAGTTTTGCATTTTCCTGTAACAGAGCTACCTACCTGTGCCAAAACAGATGGAGCTCCAAGATATATCCTTGAGGGGAAAAATGCAGGTTGCAGAAGGATACAGAGTTTTATTCCCGTATATGATTCATGGAGCCCTATATGGAAAATAAAAGAATAAAAGCCAGCAAAGAAGGAAATACACCAACTTCTTTTCGCCTGGGTGATAACTTGCTCTATTGTTTTCCTTCCTACACTGGGAGGGGAGCACACAGGGGGTTATGCTTCCATTTTTTAATATCTAAAATACTTCATTTGAAATTTTTAGGTAGTAAATTTCATCAATGTTTTTTCTTTACGTCTTGGTGTTTTGTTTTGTTTTGTTGCGGTACACGGGCCTCTCACTGTTGTGGCCTCTCCCGTCGCGGAGCACAGGCTCCGAACGCGCAGGCTCAGCGGCCACGGCTCACAGGCCCAGCCGCTCCGCGGCATGTGGGATCTTCCTGGACCGGGGCACGAACCTGTGTCCCCTGCATCGGCAGGCGGACTCTCAACCACTGCGCCGCCAGGGAAGCCCTATGTATTGGTGTTTTAAGTCACATCCATGACTAAACTTTTTCTTACGTCTTTAACGCTTTATACATTTAACTCTTTGCTATAAGTGTACTCTTTTTTGGAATAAGGAGTTAAGTTTTTCCCCAAAATCCTTCTCCTTAATGTCATTTATTGAATAATAGGTTCTTTCTCCACTGGTGTGAAATGATACCTTTTACCATTTACCAAAGCCCCATATATATGTGGGTAGGGTATTAAGTGACTTATTCAGTTCCATTAACTTTTCTGATTGTCCTTGTACCAATACCAGATCATTTAAGAAAAAACTAAATTGGCATTTTTGTTAATAGAGCACATGTTCATGGTAAACGATGTCGGCACAACACACGAAGAGGGTAGTTTCCCACCATCCCCAATCCTACCTCCCAGCGATAAAGGTCTGGGTTAGGGTTCATGGCAAGATTAGGAACGAGAGCCCAGACGGGGTGCCAGCGATTCAAAGGCAGCCATTCCCAGCCCCTTAACAGCAGGCAGGGGTGGGAGTTCCACTCATTTGCTAAGATTCTCGGGGGTCCTCATTCATTAGCTGGAAATGGTGCACCTTTGGAGCTAGCAACAGGATCAGCTGTGACTGTTATTTCTTTAACCGATGACGAAAATGAAGTCCTAAGCCATTAACTGTCTTGTCCAAATTCATGCTGCCAGTTGGTAGGTGAACATTTTCAGGTTAGAGCTGCATAGTAGGACACGTACTATTCCTTTTGCCTGGACCATCTCTCCTCCAGCACGCTTTCACACTTTGTAATTCTGTATATTGGATTGAGGCCAGAAGCCCACGGGGGCAGACACAGGTCTGTTGGGTTCACTGCTGTCTGCCCAACGCCTGCAATCCTGGGAGACGCCGGAGACCCGTAGTAGGTGGTCAGTGGATATTTGCTGATTGACAGGGTAATGCTTAGCCTACTGCCTGGAGCCTAGGAAAGGCTTAAGACATGATAATAATTACAGGCTAGAGGGCATTTGTCTACAGACAGGCACGGTCTCCAAGTGGCTGGTACAGATGTTCTCAGGCTGCTCAGAATGCCAGCAGCACGGGGCGCATTTCATAACGGACAAGCCTGTTTCTACCACTCATCTGCGCAGGCGCAACAGTGCTGTTTCTCTGAGTGATACTGAGCCTGTGAGTAACAGAGCCTGCATCATTTTGGTTGCTTTTATCTAAACTTTGGTCCCAAGCCACCTTTCACAGGCAGCTGGACCCAGGAAGTGGAGAGAAATCATGGTCACCCACCGGGCTTTCTCCGACATAGTTCTTGTGCCAAGGCTGTTTGGTTCTCATGCTGGACATCCAGGCTCACGGGACTTCCCTTAATCACCGCACTTATGGGGAGGGGGTGCCTCCCAGATTCACTGCCCTCTGATAAGATGAAAGTTCTAGATTCTTCTAAAATATTTTCTGTTACTAGAATAACAAACCCTTCCGGTCTTGGTCATCCTCCAGACATCCTCTACCCCAGGAGAAAAAGTATTGGTTGTATGTATTGAATAATTTGAATTCCACAGAGTGGACTCTTCTGCAGGTATTTTAAAAAATGAAACGTACTGATAGATAATAATGCAGAAGCATGGCCAAGAATATTGCCGGGTGGTAAATTTGTGTAAAATAGCAAATAGGGCTTCCCTGGCGGCACAGTGGTTAAGAATCCATCTGCCAATGCAGGGGACACGGGTTCGAGCCCTGGTCTGGGAAGATCCCACATGCTGCGGAGCAACTAAGCCCGTGTACCACAACTACTGAGCCTGTGCTCTAGAGCCCACGAGCCACAGCTACTGAGCCCTCACACCTAGAGCCCGTGCTCTGCAGCAAGAGAAACCACCGCAATGAGAAGCCCACCGCAATGAAGAGTAGCCCCCGCTCGCCGCCAACTAGAGAAAGCCCACGTGCAGCAACGAAGACCCAACGCAGCCAATAAATAAATAAATAGCAAAGAATAAGATCTTTATAAAAGCTGTTTGCAGAGATGTATACTTCAGTATATAGAAAAAGGGCTCCAAGAATTTATCAGTCATCTGGGGGTTAAACTCAGGAAGAAGGTTTACTTCTAGGAGAAAGCCAGGGAGATGGACATTTATATGTTCTGTAGCTGTACAGTTATACATATTTCATGAATGTTTTATAACCAAAATATATTCATGCATTAGTGGGTAATTTAAAAAAAATACATTGAAACAAACAAACAAAAAAACCCAACAGAAAGTTATAAAGTGGGAATAATGCAAATCCCTGTCCCACCCAGTCACCTACCCTCCACCCTCCCAGGTGGCCACCACAAACAGCAGTTCTTTAGATCTGTAATCGTTCCTTTTGTGAGTAAATATTTGTGTTCAGAGAAAATGTTAATAGCCGTGAAGTTGGATGGTTATGCCTTGGGTGCGGCCCCAGGAGGAGAAAGGAATTAAACCACACCTCCCACAAAAAGGAAAAAAAAAAAGAAAAGAAGGAAAGAAGCCATAAATGGAACACTTCTTTCTGAATGTGATCTCCTGTGCGTGTTACGGAGAGACAGCTGTCAACCTCCGTCTTTTAAATAATAATGATGTTAATTAGAATCATACTGGCAGCCATTGTGCGCTGGACCCTGTTTCAACTGCAGCTAAACTGCCTTCTCTTGAAAATGGAGCTCACATCTTATTTCCATTTTTTTTTTTTTTTTTCGGTACACGTGCCTCTCACTGTCGTGGCCTCTCCCCCTGTGGAGCACAGGCTCCGGAGGTGCAGGCTCAGCGGCCATGGCTCACGGGCCCAGCCGCTCCGCGGCATGTGGGATCTTCCCGGACTGGGGCACGAACCCACGTCCCCCTGCATCGGCAGGTGGACTCTCAACCACTGCGCCACCAGGGAAGCCCTTATTTCCATTTTATTTGTTATTATTATAGAACGTTTTCAAACCCATCCAAAAGTAGAGAGAACTGTACAGCGACCCACCCTTCACCCGGACTCATCACTGTTTCAGTCACCACCACTTTCTGCCCCTTGCTTTTCGTCCATCTCTCTCCTCTACTCCCCCCATCAATATTTTAAAACGAACCCAGACTTTGTATCATTTCACCGAGAAGTACTTCAGTGTGTCTCTAACAGATAAAGACTTTCTGCCTGTTTGTTGTTATTCTAACCACGTAACCCCAACATGGTTATTACTCCCGATAGAAGTTAATAGTAATTTCTTGCCATCTACTAACCAGTCGCTCTTCAATGTTGTGTTTTTTAGTCTGGCCAGAGGAAGACCTGAACAGTTTTGAGAAATTGCCCAACACCATAAGGCATTTAAACAAAAATAGTAAGTGGTATCCCTGAATGAGGGCCACCACATCCCCGGGATCTTGTTAGAAATGGAAAAATCCCAAACCCAGACCCGTGCATTGATAAACCAAACCGCCAGTTTAAGGAAAACCATGGGTGATTAAAGTCTCTTTACTGCATAGCAGGTAGTGGCCAGCCCACTCTGGATTAATCCACTTTTTCCCTGAGATCTGGATCTTGCTTGGCTAGAAGAGATGTCTCCTTCAAGTCTTAATACCCACAGTAAGAGCCCGGCATGCCGCAGGCATCAACCAGGTTCTTGGGGACAGAGAGGTCCCCACTGTTCCGAAGCTCTCACGCTAGTGGAAGAGACAGACAGCAAATTTATAATTAAATAAAATAATTGCAAGTTGTGATTGCTCCTATATCAGCTGGATGAGGTCTCTTCTGACATCCTGTTTGTTTGTTTTATTTTTATTGAAGTATAGTTGATTTACAATGTTGTGTTAATTTCTGCTGTACAGCAAAGTGACTCAGTTACACATATATGTACATTCTTTTTTATGTTCTTTTCCATTATGACACCCTGTTTAAATTGCACTGGCTCCTAAGGCCTTGTCCCGCCAGCCCAGCTCCCCGCCCTCCTCGCTCCTTCTGCTTCACTTTGCCCAGTTGTCCTCACCTCCAGATGTTGGGCCTGGATCTTTCCTATTTATGTGTTCATTGTTTTTCTCTTTGGCTAGGGTGTGAGGTGTAGGATAAATATTTGCTGAATGAAAGTCTACTAAAAGTTTTTGAACAATGAAGGAAAGCACTTACGAGTGATCAATAAGAGTCAGCTATTCTTTTTTATTTATTTTTTTGCTGTACGCGGGCCTCTCACTGCCGTGGTCTCTTCCATTGCGGAGCACAGGCTCCGGACGCGCAGGCTCAGCGGCCATGGCTCACGGGCCCAGCCGCTCAGCGGCATGTGGGATCTTCCCGGACCGGGGCACGAACCCGTGTCCCCTGCATCGGCAGGCGGACTCTCAACCACTGCACCACCAGGGAAGCCCAAGAGTCAGCTATTCTTTTAAAAATAAATCTATTTCATTCCTACCCACAGAAGAGTTCCTATGAGGAAGGAGGCTGATACAAACAGCAACTACAGAAAATGACTTGCCCTGGACCCTGCAGTGGGTGCATGCCTCCACCGCATGCTGTGTCCTTCGGAAGAAATCCAGGAAGCCTGAGGCCAGAGCGCAGGTGAGTCACTGAGGACTCTATGCCCTTGTGGCCGTCCTCCAGGTCCCCCGTCTGGATTTGTATTTTTTTCACCCGAGGGCTCTGCATCAAGAGGCTGGTGTTTTATTGTCCCTCCTAGACATAAAAGGGACCTAATCTCAGCCTCATCAGTATAAAGATCTCAGGTGTCTCAAGATGTGTCTGTACATTCAGAGTAATTCTAAAATTCAAGCGAGAGTTTTGGGGGGAGGAGGGAAGAGCGTAGGGTTGAGGCTGGAGCAAAGCAAATACTGATAGATTCTGAAGCGCTCATGGAGGATGAGGGCAGTGAGGCAGGTGTAGAAACAAGGCTGAGAGCTTCCGCGCTCCGTCTTGGAACCGGGGTAGGAACAGAGTGTTTAACACGCAGAACAGCAACAGCCGCACCCACGCCTGGAAGGGAATCTAGGAAATGACAAAGGCGGCACTTCAAATGGAAGGGATTTAAAAATAAATGCTAATGGATATGTTTTTGTTTGTTTGTTTGTCTTTTATATTTTTTTGGCCACACCGTGAGACTTGTGGGATCTCAGTTCCCTGACCAGGGCTCGAACCCGCGCCCCTTGCATTGGAACCTGGGAATCTTAACCACTGGACCGCCAGGGACGTCTGCTAATGGACATGTTTATCCATTTGCAAACGGTAGCACGAGTCTTCCCCCTTCAACCTCAAACACACACAAATATACACACTACCAATTCCATATGGGTTCAAAACCCAAACCTAAAACACAAATTCAGGGAGAATCCTTGAAACAAGACAGGTAAAAAGATAGTGTGATGGAAATGGGAGCAAATAGCATGGAATACAAGTGGTCAGTCATTATGGGAAAAGTTGGTCACCACCGTTTTGACCCTCAGATTGTGCAGAAGCTAAAAAATGAGACAGAGGGCTTCCCTGGTGGCGCAGTGGTTGAGAGTCCGCCTGCCGATGCAGGGGACACGGGTTCGTGCCCCGGTCCGGGAAGATCCCACATGCCGCGGAGCGGCTGGGCCCGTGAGCCATGGCCGCTGAGCCTGCGCGTCCGGAGCCTGTGCGCCGCAGCGGGAGAGGCCATAGCAGTGAGAGGCCCACGTACCGCAAAAAAAAAAAAAAAAAAATGAGACAGAGCTCCAGGTAATAGTGCAGAAGAATGGCCAAGAATATTGCTACATGGAAAATTCATGTCAAACAGCAAAGATTAAGATCTCCTTTGTAAGTTGTGTGCAGAATAAGGGCTTAAACAAACAGAAAAAGGATTCAAAGGACACTTCCCAAAGTTCTTAATCATGGTTACTTGGGAGAAGCTAGGGCGTTCATTCTCATTCTAATGTACAAACGTGACCTTGTGAGGACGTGGGCCTTCTCGACACGATGGGCGTGTGTAATCGGTTGCAGCATTTTAGAAACTAAATGTAGCATTAGTTTCAAACTCTTCTTGCGTTTCCCCTACAGAATGTACCTGTATGATTCTGCAAATTCCACACATCCTATGGGCAGTTGCTCCATTACATTCTACAGCACAGAAGAGTCTCCCAATTCCTCATGGCAGCCAGGTCTTGAACAGCCTGTGGGTGGCTTTTGTTTGGGCCATGGGCTCTTTGAAAAGATGACTCAGTCAGGTAAGTGGTTTGGCACCTGGTGTCAAACGTCTCACACTTGAGCACACAGGACCTGCCCGGCCTGGAAGGGCAAGTCTTGAACCTCTGTGGGCCTGGGGTCCCTCCTGTGTGCGGTGGAGTCACCTCCACAGGTGCAGGTCCCACCCCTCTAAGACACCACACCCCATCACTTCCTACCCCTGCCTTTCCTTCTAATACCTGACCCATCTTAGTTATGAGGTTCGTGGTGGTCCCCATGGTAAGCTCTGGGGAGCAGGACTTGGCTGCTTTCCTTCCCCACCATCCCCCAGCCTGACCTGGTACCCGGAGGTACTCATAGTACATCTGCTTCAGGGACGTGGGACCCCCCTCATCCACTACCCGGGCAGCCTCAGAAGAGCACCTTATTTACAAAACACCCGCTGGTAGGACAACGCTCAGTGGAGCTCTGGAGATAACAGGAGGAATGTCTGTGAAGACTGAACGATGGAACTCCTAACCCCACCTTAGCTCCCAACCTGTGCTGCCCCAGGGCCTTGCCCTCACTCCCCTTGCCTCTGCTTCCCCTAAAGGTCTGCTGTCTGACCTTCTGGCGCCTCTTGATTTCAGCATCGCCTCCTCTGGGAACCTGCTTCACCTCCAGCACAGGCCAGGCTGCCTTATACCCACAGCACCCCTGTCTCTCCGTGGTGTCGCCGCCTCTGTAAAGGTTGGGTTAGCTGTGTAGTCGTTTGCCAAGATTTTGTCTCCCACCAGCGATGCGAGGCCCCAGAGACAGGGGTTGGAGCCTCTTTTGTTGTCTGTGAGCTGCCCAGCACGGGGCCTGGAACACTGTCAGCGCTCCATAAATATTTGTGGAATGAAAGATGGACAAGAGACAACTCCCGACAGAGATAGGGAATCGCAGGGTGGAGGGACATCGTGGAGCCGGGTGACAGGGGAGAGGCCGGTTTGTGAAGGTGACACGTCTGACTCAGCCCCGGTCCAGGAGGGGACCAGTTAGTCAGGCCTTCGCAGGTGCCGATGCCCCAGAAACACAAGGACACTGAACACACCACAGAGCGACCTTTTAAGGTCAAGGCTACCACTTCAGACACTCCCCACGGGGCTTTGCAGATACTGCTTTTCGCTTCTCTGTCTCCAAACCCCAAGAGGTTGTGAACGCGTGGCCCATAGCACCCGGAGGTTTCTGCTCTCATGGGTGCAGCTCTGCCCTCTCTCCCTCCCTCCGCTGGTGTCTGTTTTAAGACCTTGGTGGAATTTAGCACCCAAACTCCCTGGGCTCCATCACCGTTAGGGCTCTGTCAATTCCCAGTGCTTAGAAATTAACACTGTATCCCACCCCTCCCCCACCCAAACCCCATCCATGGGGAAAACTTTTGGGGTGTCAGGCCAGTGGAGATTTGATTTGATTTATTTATTTTGCATATTTACTTCCAGTTTTATTTTTTTTATTATTATTATTTTTTGCGATACGTGGGCCTCTCACTGCTGTGGCCTCTCCCATTGCAGAGCACAGGCTCCAGACGCGCAGGCTCAGCGGCTCACGGGCCCAGCCGCTCCGCGGCATGTGGGATCCTCCCAGACTGGGGCATGAACCCATGTCCCCTACATCGGCCGGCGGACTCTCAACCACTGCGCCACCAGGGGAGCCCCAGTTTTATTTTTTAATGAAAATTACTTAAAAACTTATACATGCTCATTACCAGGAATATAGACACTATAGCAAATACAACAATAAATGTTTTAAAAGCTCCCCAAATCCTACTATCTAAAAATTATTACTGCTAATATTAGGAAAATATTATTAGATACATTTTTCTTTGCATTTACAGAGAGGAGGATGGACGAACAGGTGAAAAATGATATCTCAGTATAATTTTAATTTGTATTTCTCTTATTAGGAGAGAAGTACAGAATCCTCTCATATGTTTAAAAGTCATCTATACTTCAATACCTGTGTTTTATTTATATTTCTTGCCCAATTTTCTATTGGGGTTGTTGACTTCTTATTTATTTGTAGTAGATCTTTTTATACTACATAAAAGATCTTTATATAAGGTAAATTAGCTCTTTGTTATGGATTCATTTAATAATGTGCTGGATTTAACTTTTAGTGAGTGGATTCATTTTTTTAAATTAATATTTATTGCAGCATAGTTGCTTTACAATGTTTGCGTTAAGTTTCTACTGTACAGCAAAGTGAATCAGCATATATCCCCTCTTTTTTGGATTTCCTTCCCATTTAGGTCATCACAGAGCATTGAGTAGAGTTCCCTGTGCTGCACAGTAGGTTCTCATTAGTCATCTATTTTATACATAGTATCAATAGTGTACATACATCAATTCCAATCTCCCAATTCATCCCACCACCCTCCCTCCCTAGAAGATTTTAAAAGTTCCCTGAAGGATACAGGATGGCTGTAGGGTCCTGGATGTGTGGTGGATGCTCTGCAGTATTGGGTTTTAACGCTGATGGCTGCCACCATCAGCCCGGCACTGGAAGCCTGACCCCAATTCCCCCTGCCCACTCCGTTCTCCCACCACTGCCAGCCTTCTCAGAGGTGCAGAGGCAGACCCCTTGGCCTCCCCAGAGACTGTCCCTGAACCACCCATTCCCCTTCCATCGGATAGAAGGAGAAACTCCAATCTAGAGGTGGGACCGTGGGGGCAGGTGGGGAGGGGATGGGTAACCTGCTCAGAAAACCTCTGGCTGCCTACCCACAGGAGATGCAAAATAACAACCAATCCAGAAGGTTTCTATCATATTCATAGCCCACGCTTCCTTCCCCAGTGCCAGGTACTCTGCTCACTGCTCTTACGAAGGGAAGCTAAGCAGAACATTCTTATGGGGACCTACAACTGTCTCATTTACAAAGGAAGAAGCTCTACCTGTCAGAGGGACAGGGCTGTCCTTGCCCGCCTCCCCCCTTTCTTCTGGGGATGCTTAGAGCAGTAGATCTCTTATCCTCTAATGTACTCCAAAATGTAACTCTTTTTTTTTTTTTTTTTTTTTTTTGCGGTACGCAGGCCTCTCACTGTTGTGGCCTCTCCCGTTGAGGAGCACAGGCTCCAGACGCGCAGGCTCAGCGGCCATAGCTCATGGGCCCAGCCGCTCCGCGGCATGTGGAATCTTCCTGGACTGGGGCACGAACTCGTGTCCCCTGCATCGGCAGGCGGACTCTCAACCACTGAGTCACCAGGGAAGCCCAAAATGTAATTCTTTTTAAAAATTAATTTATCAATTTTAAAATCGAGGTGTTAATTGACATACATTACATTAGTTTCAAGAGTACAACATAATGATTTCATATTTGTATATATTGCAAACTGATCACCACAATAAATCCAGTTAACATCTGTCACCATAGTTACAGAATTATTTTTTTCTTATTATGAGAACTTTTAAGATCTACTCTCTTAGCAACTTCCAAATATGCAATACGATATTATTTTTAATTAATTTATTAATTTATTAATTTATTGGCTGCATTGGGTCTTCGTTGCTGTGCACAGGCTTTCTCTAGTTGCGGCGAGCAGGGGCTACTTTTTTTTGTGGTGCGCGGGCTTCTCATTGTGGTGGCTTCTCTGGTTGCAGAGCACGGGCTCTAGGCACGTGGGCTCAGTAGTTGTGGCACGTGGGCTCAGTAGTTGTGGCTCACAGGCTCTAGAGCACAGGCTCAGTAGTTGTGGCGCACGGGCTTTGTTGTTCTGTGGTATGCGGGATCTTCCTGGATCAGGGCTTGAACCCGTGTCCCCTGCACTGGCAGGCAGAATCTTAACCACTGCACCACCAGGGAAGTCCCAATACGATATTAATAACTATAGTCCTCATGCTGTACACTACATCCCTGAGACTTATTTTTTTTTATAACTGGAAATTTTGACTCCCTTTACCCATTTTGCCTGCCCCCCCCACCTCTGTCAACCATCAATCTGTTTTCACATGTATGAACTTGGTGTTTTGACTTTGTTTTTGTTTTTAAGATTCCACATAGAGGGACGTCCCTGGCGGTCTGGTGGTTAAGACTCCTCGCTTCCAATGCAGGGGGTGCAAGTTCGATCCCTGGCTGGGGAACTAAGATCCCACACACCACTCAGCCCCAAAAAAAGATTCCACATATAAGTGAGATCGTACGGTATTTTTCTTTCTCTGTCTGACTCATTTCTAGCATAATGCCTTGTGTGTTGTTGCATATGGCAAGATTTCATTCTTTTTCATGGTGGGATAGTGTTCCATTTACTTACCCACTTATTTGTCCCTTCATATATCTATTTAATCATGCAGTAAATGAGCATCTGCTTGGTGCCGAGATACCAAGGGCACCAAAGGGCAGAGATTCTCAAAGTTTCGGTCTAAGGACCTCTTTACATTGAAAAAAATTACTGAAATTCTCAGAAAGCTTTTGATAATGTGGGTTAGCAATAGTTACTGTATCAGAAATTACTGAGACATTTAAAACATTTATTTGAAAGTAACAATAATACACACCCATGACATATTAACCTAAAAACATATTTTATGAAAAAAGTAACCATATTTTCTAAAATTAAAAAAAAAAATGTAGTAAGAACAGTGGTTGGGATTTGTCTGTTGGTTTGTTTTTACATGTTACAGCTCCCTTTAATGCCTGGCGTAATAGAAGGCAACTGGGTTCTCCTGCCTGCTTCCGCCTCCAATCTGTTGTGATAGTACACATCACGTAGCCTCTGGAAAATTCCACCGAACCGAGGGAAAGAGGCAAATGACATGCTGTTATGAAATAGTTGTGCTCTCATGACCCTCTGAAACAGTCTTATGGACTCCACTGCCACGAGGACACACCAGCCAAGGGCAGTAGGACCAGACAGGGCTGGGGGTCAGCAAACAGCCTATAGCGGCCCTGTAGGCATGGCAGCCCTCTTCTCCCTCTCCCTTGACCTCCTCCCTTTGTTTCCTTCCATCTCTTCCCGTATTCCTCTCCAAACTTCCCCTGCCTGTTCCCTTGCTTGGCTAGGTAACTCCCTCTGGAAGCTCAGCGTCTCCGCTCACCTTAGGCTTTTCAGACTCCGAAGCCTGTAGCCCTGCTTTTTATTTGGTGTGTGGCCTTGGGCAAGTTATGTAGCTTCTCTGACCCTCATCCACTCCCTCTTCAAGGTGAGGAAACTAAGACCTGACGCACAGAAGCATTCTGTAGAGTCAAGGAGATTTTATAGTTATAACCAATGTTAATGATGCGGCCTCTCTCTGCTGGCAAGTTCTGTAGGCAGGGAATGGAACAGACACACGCTTAGGCCCTCAAGGGTTCTACGTCTTAGAGAAGAGGTGCATTTTCATTCATAAAACAAATAAGTATCGAGTACCTCCTATATGCCTGACACTGGATAACATATGTAAAGCACCAGAGTTCAGATTATGAAATCCTATGCAGCAGTTTTTAAAATGAGGTATTAGAATATGGTTAGAACTTGAAGATACATTATTAAGTAGAAAATGCAAGTTGCAGAATGATATAGGAATATGTAGTACCATTTATTTATAAGCATGCAAACACATCTATTTTTTTCTCTTAAATATTTAATGTTTTGGGGCTTCCCTGGCGGCGCAGTGGTTAAGAATCTGCCTGCCAATGCAGGGGACACGGGTTCGAGCCCTGGTCTGGGAAGATCCCAAGTTGCCCTGGAGCAACTAAGCCCGTGCACCATAACTACTGAGCCTGCGCTCTAGAGTCCGCGAGCCACAACTACTGAGCCAGCGTGCCACAACTACTAAAGCCCACATGCCCTAGAGCCCATGCTCCACAACAAGAGAAGCCACCGCAATGAGAAGCCCATGCACCTCAACGAAGAGTAGCCCCTGCTCGCTGCAACTAGAGAAAGCCCACGTGCAGCAACGAAGACCCAACGCAGCCAAAAATAAATAAATAAAATAAATAAATTTGTTTAAAAAAAAATCTAATGTTTAGCTATTAATTACAAATCTAATTTCCCTTATATAAAGAAATCTTGTATTTTTACCTGATACATCTAAACATCATTTGCAAGTATAAAGACCTGAAATAACTTAAAATGAATTTACAAAATATGTTATTTAAAATATATTATTACAGGGGCTTCCCTGGTGGCGCAGTGGTTGAGAGTCCGCCTGCCGATGCAGGGGACAGGGGTTCGTGCCCCGGTCTGGGGAGATCCCACATGCTGCGGAGCGGCTGGGCCCGTGAGACATGGCCGCTGAGCCTGCGTGTCCGGAGCCTGTGCCCCGCAGTGGGAGAGGCCACAGCAGTGAGAGGCCCGCGTACCACAAAAAAAAAAAAATAAATAAAATAAAATAATGACATTGCTTGATATAGTACCTGGCACAGGTATATGAAATATATACAGAAGAAGACATGAAAAGGTAATTTCCTCTTCCAGCCATGACGAAGCCTCGAATACTGGCCTTGCCTTCCTGCTGTAAACAACTGGAAAAGTGAATAAGATAATAGGAAACAATTGTTTTCAGACACC